ATCAGAGGTGTGTGTCTTGCCAGTGGAAAGAGGACTGGACCAGCAGTCTTCCCCAGCTCTTCAGCTGGTTCCATCTCTCAACTCTCTAAGTGACATTTCCTCACCGATGGCATCTAAATTACCTCCTACCTGTCATGCTCTCTTACAGTTTCTTGTTGTCTATGATTAGTCTTTATTCAATTTAATTATGGATACTGGGTGTCTTTGTTTAGTGTCTTCTGGTCCAGTAGATGACATAGCTCCAGAGGGCAGGGATTACGTGTTTTATTGATCAAGTACAATCACTTAACTTCAAGTTTTTAATCTGTTAAATGAGGGAGGTAATACTGCTTTTGCCTACCTCACTGAGCTGTGAAATTAAAAAAAAAGTTAATACGTATGAAACTTCCTTATTAATCATAAAACATGATGTAAATATTAGTTATGCTCAGTACCATGTCTATTTGAGGGCACATCGCAAGCTGAATACTTGTGAAATGCGCTCCTGGACAGATTAGCCTTCTGTTAAATGAGGTAACAGAGGAAAGTACTTAGAGCAGAATGTACAGCGTGATAGCTCTTATTGTCTGAAGTCGAAGATGGCTGTCCCAACCTCTGCAAATATCACATTGGCTTAGTCCACCTATAGTAAGCGTGGAATGGTTTAATAAGAGCACGCCTGTGGCTGGAGATGTCTAAACACATGTGATAGCAAGCAACCCAGTGCCCATCAATTCTGTGCACTGGAGGTTCGGGGGGGGGGGGGGTTGGGTTGAGGTTTTACAAGTTAGTTCTCAACTAAGATGGTCTTTTTCTACCATGAAGCAAAGATGGTGAGTATGACACCTTCCTCTGCCCATGGTAGAGATACTGCAGAGAGAGGGAAGCTGTTTCCAGAACAATGGCTGCTGCTGCCAGAAATTCACAGAGAGCAATTGGGAGGAGCATGCATCTCCTCAGTTCAAACAGTGCATAGCTGTGTGCAGCATCACATTCAGAACAATGAGAGCTGGGCAGGAGGGATGTAGCTGATGAACACACTAGTCTTGGGCTGAGACTCTTCTGCATTTGATGGACCAGCCAGGAAATGAGAAATGATCCATCCCCACAGACAGTGTGGTGCCTGAATCCCAGAGGCTAGGAACCTAAAGATCAAACGGTGTTAAACTAGAAAGAAATTGATCAGATTGGACCAAAACAGACACATTTTGCTTCACGAGGCCATTCTTGGGCTTTGCCCTATTTATTGGAGAGGCACAATAAGGAGCTGGCACCATAAAACCACACTGCGTATTCCTTGTTGTTTGGTATGCATAATTATGGTTTAATTAACTACTTAGGAAGATGCCTAGAGTTTGCATGTTTTGTGGCGTCCTTGGCTCTCCAAGGTCCCCAGATTCATGGTTGTTGGCAGAGAGCCCAGTTTCCCCCTAGCCCCTCAGCACAGGCCTGAGTGGGGTTTACTTACTGTTTCTATACAGCTGTGACTGCCTTGGGCAGAAGCAAATGTGAGCAGTGAGTCCAGGAGAGGTCAGGTAACAGGAAAAGACAGTCTGGGTAAAGGTCAAAGGGAATAGAAATAGACCCCGGGACGGGGTGGAAAGGTGGCCTAAAAAACTCCATCCACAAGCAGACAAGGCCTCATCACAGATGCACACCAAGATACAGGAACAAAGACCAAGGTCACCTAAATGGGATAAACAAAGGTCACCCAAGGCCAGACACAGGAGGGGATGAGGTGGCCACACATCCCCAGGGGATGACAATAGGAGAAGGGGTACAAATCTGTAATAAGTTTTTGTGTGTTTTTTTTTTAATCCTAATTTGTTGAAATAATGATTGCCACTAGCATAATTGTTTTATCTTAGCCCCAAAAGAGTGGGGTTAACTTTACTCTCTGTCCTGGGATTGTGGCCACAGAAGGCAGCTTCTCTGGGGCAGGGACTGTAGGTGCCCCCACCCCCCCACGGTGTTCCTGTTCCAGCTACATTTTTCCCAATCATAATCCCCCTGGTGTGAGAAATGTGCTGTGATAGAGATAGTCCAGGGCACTGTGGGGGCAATAGAGGTAGCGGGGAGGGGGATCAGAAGCTGGGGAGACCTGTTGCTGATGTGAGGGGAGAACCTTGAGCAGGCTGCAGGTGGAGTGCGGGCACAGACCAGGCAGCACCCGGGCTTGAGGGCCGGTGGAAAATAAGGCAACATGGGGAGGGCCTGGGGCAGGGCGAGCCCAGACCCCAGAGGCCAGGCCGAGGGTGAGGAAGGTGGATGCATCTAACCTCACAGTTTGGCCACAGGCCGACTCTGATCTTTAGGGACAGGTAGATAGAACCTTTACTCAAAGAAAAGTCACCTCTTGGCACCGGAGGAAAGTGCTCACTCACCCTTACGACACCCCCCACGATGCTGCAGAGGTAAATATGAGAAGAGTCTCGAGAAAGGAAACAGGGCATTAAAACAGATCCCTGAAAGCGAAAGCAGAGCCTGAGAGTATGAGCACGAAATCTGTGGCCTGGGAGGTGGAGGCGAGCGAGTTCTGCAGAGGAGACAGAGGGGAGCTTTGTGCGCTGGCCCCAGGGCACCGGCCTCCTATCTCTGGCTGTGCGTCCTGGGAACATGCAGGGACTCCTCCTGGCCACCTTTCTCCTGGCAGCCCTGTCACAGGTAAGGTCTCTCTCCTTCCTCCTTCCCTTCAGGAGACTGCAGCAGTTTTTATTTTTTCAGTTTAAAAATCTGGAAAGAAGAAGATGGGGGAGGAAGAGAGGGTGAATTCCTTGTGGAACTACCTCTTGAGAAATAGGGAGCCATTTTCCTCTCCAAATAAAGTGCTGTTTCAGTTTAGTAGCTTCAGCAAAGAAGGGGAAAACATTTGTCCCTTTCAGGTAATGGCATTTAATCCAACTTTCGATATGTTTGAACAGCTTCACGACTTTAGTAATGTATATATTTTTATTGGAGTATAGCACACAGCGTGCCTCGGGGAAGCCGCAGCCCTACCTGGCGGGGGAATGAAGGGCGCTTCTTCTTGTGGGCTCCAGGCTGGGGCTCAACTTTCCGTAGTCGTGTGCAAAATGAGCAGAGAACCACTGGAAAATATGATTGTGACCACTTCAGTGAAGCCTGTTCTGGTTTGAAAGGAGCACTTTGGAAGAAACATTTATATTTTGAAAACATTCTATGACTTTGTCTTTTCCCAACCCATGTGTTTCTCACTTGTCATGAAAGGGAATCAGTCCATGGAGACTTTGGAATTTTTCAAGCAACAGACCAAAGGGAAGTTTAATTTAATACGACCGATTCATTGCCTTGGCATTTTTTAATAAGAATATTAAAACAGGGTGAATTACTTGTGGATTTATTTACATGGTGAATGTTTTTGCTTGCATAGAAGACAGAGCTTTGGAAATCTGGGGATTTAGCAAAATATCTTAGATTTGACAATCTTAGATTCTACATATAAGAGAGATTTTACAGTATTTGCCTTTCTGTGTGTGCCTTATTTCCTTAGATGATGTCCTTCAGGTCCATCCATGATGTTGCAAATGGCAGGATTTCCTTCTCTTCTAAGGCTGAATTATATTGCATTTTATGTATATAGCACAACTTCTGTATCTACTCATGCATGAATGGACATTTAGGTTGTTTCCATATCTTGGTTATTGTGAATAATGCTACAGTGAACATGGGAGTACAGAGTACAGCTATCTCTTTGAGCTCCTGATTTTAATATTTTTGGATAAATACCCAGAGTGAAATTGCTAGATCACATGGTAGTTCTATTTTTAATTGTTTGAGGATCCTCCATATTGTTTTCCATAATGGCTGTACCAATTTACATTCCCACCAACAGTGTACCAGGGTTTTCTTTTCTCCACATACTCACCAACATGTATCTTATTTATTTATTTATTTATTTACTTACTTACTTACTTACTTTAGTAGTAGTCATCCTAACAGGTGTGAGATGATATCTTGGTGTGATTTTGATTTGCATTTCCCTGATGATTAGTGATGTTGAGCACATTTTCATGTATTGATGGCCATTTGTATGTCTTCTTTGTAGAAATGTCTATTCAGGTGTTTTGCCCATTTTTTAATTGGTTTATTATTTTTGCCATTGAGTTGTATGAGTTCTTGATATATTTTGGATATTAACCCCTTATTAGATATATAGTTTGCAAATATTTTTTCCATTATGTAGATTGCCCTTTCTTTCATTTGTTGATTATTTCCTTTGCTGTATAGAGCTTTTTAGTTTGATGTAATCCCACTTATTTATTTTTGCCTTTTCTTTAAAAAATAAAAGAACAATTCTTCTGGGTAGAGAAGATAGAGGACAAAAGGGGAAGCAAGCAGAACCTTTACAAAACTATTATAATAATCTAAGTGAAAAATAATGGTGGCTTGGATCACTATGGTAGCAATGTGGTTATTAAGAAATAGAGTGGATATATTTTGAAGATATAACCAACATGATATACTGATGGGATTGGAAGTAAAATGTGAGAGAAAAGTCAAGAATGACCTGACTCCAAGGTATTTTGGAAAAATGAAATTGGCATTTGCTCAAACAGGGATGTGTAGGTAAAGTAGATTGGAAGGGAACATTGGGAGCTTGCTTAGGTCATGTTAAACTTGCTATACCTACCAAACATCTAAGTGGAGATCTGTTTAGTAGGTAGTGTGAGTCTGAGTTCAGAAGAGAAGTCTGAGTGGGAGGTATGAGATATAGCGAGAGAAGATAGGTCTTAACTGCGGGGGTAGCAATATTTAGAAATGAGGATGAGAAGAAACCAGCAAAGGAGACTGAGAAGAAGCCATCAGTGAGAAAGGAGGAGCAAGAAAGTGATGTTTTGGCAGCTGAGTGAAGAAAAGTTTAAGCTGAGAGTGATTGTGTCAAATACTCATAGATATTATTATAACTCGGCACACTGTATTCTATCAGTTTGAGGGAAATCTATTTCTATTAAACCTCCGGAATTAGTTTGAGAAATCATTTCTAACATCACCTTTATTATCAAATGAAGTTCTGCTGCAGGGCACAGGGCACCGGGCCATTAGATGTGACTCCTGAAGGAAGGCCTGGAGAAGCATCAGAAGTGCAGCATCGTAAGCAGGTCTGTCACTGGCCCTGTAGATGTCCGCAGAAGCCCAGTTGCCCTCCTGGAGTGAGCTTGGTGAGGGATGGCTGTGGATGCTGTAAAATCTGTGCCAAGCAACCAGGGGACATCTGCAATGAAGCTGACCTCTGCGATCCACACAAAGGACTGTACTGTGACTACTCAGCAGACAGGCCTAGGTACGAGACCGGAGTGTGTGCATGTAAGTGTCTTCTGGACCTGCTGGGAGAGGTTGAGTCTAGACAGGATATTTTTCCTGCAACTGTTAATTTGGGATAATTAGCTTAGTTTGGCTAACTATAAGGCGGCTTTAATTTTCACACACTAAGGGGACTGGCTTTGTCATATTAGACACCACGTGAAATTAACAGATGTTTACACACATTCAGAAACCTGTTATTTTAACTGCATTTAAAGTGATCTCACAGTTCTTCTCAAAATAATTGCTTTTAATGATTAAAATATAAGAAATTGAGTCTGATTTCTTAAAGTGCCACAAAATAACAGCTTTTGTTAATATTGTCAAAAGCAATCTGAATTCAGCCTTTTCTATAACTGAAAAGTAATCTTGCTTAAAATGTAAGGATGTATATCTGGTATTCAGACATACTGCTTTAATCTCAGCCTTCCCAACTAACCATCAAGTTACTGTACTTTTTACTGAAGAGAGAGAGATACTTTCACCCCAAATCACAACCTGACCCTCAGCTTTATGGGTCTTAGCTCTGGAGTCTGATTGAGACCATCTAAACCTACAACATCTTGACAATGATTCAGGATGCTGACTTACTTAGGATTAAGGAATCAGATTTCTAAGGGAAGAGAAATGCTCATGTTATCTGGGCGGTTTAGTCACTCTGTAGAAAAGTCCAAGTGGGAAACAAATAAGTCCTAGAAGTTTGGTCATGAGCATGTAATAAGAGTACATCTTTGGAGTTGAGATGAATGTGTAGACCCATGCAGGTCTGATAGCCTGATACCCCTGTCGGCACTATATTATATTGGTTAAGATGCAGGCTCTGGGTTCAAATTCTAGGCTCTATCTGCTGGGTGACCTTGATCATGTTGTTTAACCTCTTTGTGCTTCAGTTACATCATATGTACCTCCTATCTCATAGACTTGCTAGGAAGATCAAATGAAAATAATGGACATAAAACCCTAAACACCTGGCCCAATATCTGGTATACAGTAGACTCTAAAAAATGTTAGTTATTATTCATGGAAATTTGACAGAGAAACCATGACCTATCAGACTCTGGCATTCAGGACACCCCCTTCTTCCAAACAGTGCTGGGCAACAAACAGTGACCAGCAACTAGGGACAAAACAGGGGGTTATAAAAGATACAGGCCCTTCCCTCACAGAGTCAAAGTATATTGTGTCAGACAGATCTTTCCACAAATAATTTCAGATACTGTGATGATATTTTAACACAGCTTAGACCCAAGGTTGAGGGCGGGGTGATCTATAACTGCGCTCACGAACTATGGCTCTGTGGCCAAATCATGGCCCTCCCCTGATTTTACACAGAATGTTATGTTGGAACTCAGCCACACCTACTGAGCTACATATAGTCTATGGCTGCTTTACAATGGCAGGATCCAGTAGTGGTGACAGAGGCTGAATGGTCTGTAAAGACTAAGATAGTTACGATTTGGCCCTTTACAGAAAATTTGCTGGCTGATGATATGGATAAATATTTTTTAAACTTTTTGGTCCAAGGGCCCCTTGATTCTTAGAAATTAATGAGGACCCAAAGAGCTTTTGTTTGAGTTATCTCTATTGGTATTTAATAGATGAGAAATTTAAAACTATTTGCTAATTTGTTTTAAAATAACAAAATCATTGTAAATTCATAGGAATAACATATCAGTTATGAAAAAATTTATGTTCTAAAACAAAGGAAAATAGAGTGAGAAGAATGGGACTGTTTTACATTTTTGCAAATCTAGTGTATAGCTTAACAGAAGATAGCTAGATTCTCCCATCTGTTTCTACTTTCAATCTATTGCTCGATGATGTTTTGGTTGAAATATATGAAGGGAATCTAGCTTCACAGAGATATATTATTGGAAAAGGAAGGAATATTTTAACAGACTTTTCCGATAATTGTGAATATTCTTTTTTGATATTATATTAACACTTGAGAAGTGGTAGTTTCTTAAAAATTAGCTGCATCATGGAGTCTAAAACCATATCATTGAATCACATCAATGTCAAACTCTGTGACATTAAAATACATTGGTCCATCCAAAACCTACTTGGAATTGGTTATTTGGAAAATAGTTTGGAACAATGGGTTATGTAGAAGTTCCAAATGATACACATAATTATATAATATTTTTTAAAATCACATTAATTAATCCTAATTCTGTCAGAAAAGTCTATATATTGAGTAGCTATGAAGTTCTCAGAGGTGGATACAAATTTTCCAACATTCTAATTTTTTGCTTGAAAGCTTGAATTCTATCATTGGCAATAAATACTGTCAGTTGTTTTGTTTGAAGTTACAGCCTTATTTTGTTGGTTTTCAAGAAAATGTCAGCCAAATACCCAGTCTGAATAAGCATGGCTTACCTGTCAGTCATTCCTTTAGGTGAAATTCCCACTAAAAAACATGGGTAGTTTGACCTACAACTCAAACAGCAGCATAGGTGCTTTTCCTAAGGTAACTGTTGTACTTCGGTGCAATCCCTACAGAGATGCTCTGTGTATACTTTCCATTTTGTCCCAAGGAATATTAAAAATATTTATTTGATGGTTAAGATTTAATAACATTTTTACTTTTTACTGTATCACTAAGGGCATTCTTAAGTAAAACTAGCTTTTTTGTTATAGTACATTTATATACAAGTGCACAGCAAGGAAAAATACAGTGATTAACCTGTACAGTTTGATTCATGCTGTTTTAGATGCCAACAGCAGTTTTAGCCACCATTGCTTTCGCACCATCAGTGCAAATATCAATACAGTGAAAACAGTTTCTGACCTGCAGATTCTCTGAAAGGGCCTCAGGCCCTGCCCAGGAGTCAGTGGCCACACTTGGAAAACTGCTGACCGAGGTCAGGGATCCTGCTCAGAGGAAGTGAAAGTTTCCTCTAGTTCTCTTAAGACAAAAATCAGTTACCATGCAGTACTGTAGTTAAATAGATTATAATTTTTTCAGCCATTCACATCTTAACTTACTAAGAATATATCCTAGCCTATTGTTGGACATCTGAGGAAACCTCAGTCTCACCAGCCCTCAGCCCATCTCTCAAATTTACTCTTCAGCCATTCACATCTTAACTTACTAAGAATATATCCCAGCCTATTGTTGGACATCTGGGGAAACCTCAGCCCCCAGCCCCCAGCCCATCTCTCAAATTTACAATCTTTATCTCACTGCTGTACTCAAAGTGATTTTTTATTAACCGCACTCTAGACCAGGGCCTGTGCCTGGGTCTGAGTTCCGGAAGTGACCATTGAGGTTGCTAGCCTACAATGTACTGCTAATGTCTCATTTTTCACCTTCTCCAGATGTTCTGTGAAAGAGGTTCCAGATGGGGCCTAAGAAATCGAGAATGGCACTTTGTTAAGGAGATACCTGTTTCTTCTGTGGCTTATAAGGGGAGGGCTAGGCTATCAGTGATGGCTTCTTTGGTGATTCTGCTTTTTTCTCTTTTCAGACCTTGTGGCTGTGGGATGCGAGTTCAACAGGGTACATTATCATAATGGCCAAGTGTTTCAGCCCAACCCCCTGTTTAGCTGCCTCTGTGTGAGTGGGGCCATTGGATGCACCCCTTTGTTCATACCAAAGCTGGCTGACAGTCACTGCTCTGGGGCTAAAGGTGGAAAGAAGTCTGATCAACCAAACTGTGGCCTGGGACCATTGCAACAGCAGCTCTCAACAGCCTACAAAACAATGCCAGGTGCTCATAAGTAGAAGTGGTTTCATGTCTGCTTCTTGAGGTTTACTTCATGGTCCTTCTATGCACCATAGGTGCTGCATAGGCACTTCCTGACTGGTGGTCAGTGTGAGATTTAGTTTGAGTGTGCCCTCTTAGTCTGTTTTAGGAAGGTATAGTCTTAAGTATCTGAAAAGGAAACTTGGTAATGTTTTCATTTTTTTTCCAGTAAAATATTTGTTTTTAAAAACCCTACTAGGTCAGGAAAATTCCTACTCTGCTTATTCCCACTCAACTTCTTCTCAGGAGGATTGGCCAAATGTAGTTCACAGGTACCCTGGAAAAACTTTTATTTGTATTGTTATACTACAGCCAAGAAGTGTGAACTATTCAGAATCAAAAACTTTCAAAGGTGACTTTTCTATATGATAAAAGCAGAAATGGAAAGATACTGCTTAAAAATATTTGAGGACATGCATTGAATTTATAAATATTATTTCTAGAAATAGAAAACTGCTGATATAAACTTATCCTAGGCATTCTTAAGTAGGCTGCCCAGGTACGTATGTAGTCAGGAACATGTAATGAGATTCTTTGTTTCTCATCTTGAACACCTGGCCATTTAGTCAGTATGCTCATAAACTTTGTATTCTGGTCTGCTCTGAGTTAGCATCTTTGTCAGTGCCAGGGTGTTTTGGGGACAGGAATTTTAAAAATGCCAGCATATGAAGCACAGACAAGGAAGGACTTAAAAAGTGCAAAGCTGATGCCTTATTATTCACATCTGTGTTTTCATCCAGAAATCAATGCCTTTTTCTTGAAATTTAGAGCTTAGGGAATGAAAGGAGCCAAGGAAATACAGAATACGTATGCTGAAAACTCCCAAGTTCACTTTATCATGTGAAATGAGTTTTAGAAATTTAAAAGCTATATGAAAAGACCATCTTCAGGGATTTCAATTATGCCCATTAAACTTGAAAAAAATTTAACAGGTTGTAGTGAATTTGCATTTACCATGCATAGTTATTCAGCTAACAGCATGCCACTGCTAATGCTCTAAAAATATAAGCCAAATTATTCTTTTTTCCAGGATGTACAAGAACAGTTGGTTTTCTGCATTGAATCTGAGTGAATCAGTATAAGTCCTTAGAATCTCTTTGGTGAGAGAGAACACCTTAGAGAAGCAGTTTGCCACAAATGGAGACTTTTGGATGTAGTTCAAGTTGGTCTCATTTGTAGCGTGAGGGTGGATTCACTGGGTACCCGGTTGGAGGTGTCAGATGGTCATTCTTAGTGATTGGTGCTTTGATGCAACAGCAAAACAAAACCAAACCCTGAGAAAATCTCTGTGGTAATTGAGTGTTGGACCTAGATATGTTTCAAAGGAAGTATATATTCAATCTAATATCTCTCCTTTGCTTAACTGTGAAACTATACGTACGGGCCCAAACAGGAGTTTGGCTTTTAAAATTAAGCACAGTGACAAACACTCACTTTAAGATATATTTGTGATAGTAATTTATATGCACAGTTAATTCCAAATGGTTAGAATCTAGCTTGCTTGGTCAGTACGAAGCATGCAATGACATAATGCCCCCATGCTTTTCTTACTGCTCTCCAACACTAAACTTTGACTTTAAAAATCTCTTCTTGCTTTTTAATGAATGTCAAGCAAATTCCTGAACTGCAGTTCTTTGCTTAACTTTAAGTGGGGTTATTAGAAATACAACTCTCTAACCTACCTTTATTTATTGCAGATGCGTGCCAGGCTTTTAATCTGCTTCCTGCATTGAGGTCTTTAAACTGTTGTCTACCTTCCAGGTATCTTCATATTTCTGCTTCTTCTCCCTCAGTTCTATGTGCAATTGCAAGATCCTATTATAATAACACTGAAAATAGTATCAAAGTATCATTTTACTCAAAGATAGTACATACTTCAGTGACTGATATTCCCTATCAAGAAGGCATTTTTGGGGGTCTTTTTCAAGTTTAAATTGACATTTTGAAGTAATGTAGCCAGAATTTTGCAGTGTTCAACTGCAAACTCACATCACAACAACCTTATTCCCAAAACATCCATTTTAGGATGCATATTAACCTTCGGGAAATGCTTTGAGACAATAAACCAACCTGTAGTTTGCTTAAAATTAACCAAGGGCCAGACTCATTCATGAACAGAACAAGAAGCTCCCAATGGATTTACAAGGAGATGGAAGAATATTATGCCCTCTTTATAGTCTCATTATTTACCCTCTTCCCCTCCTTTTGTTTCTCCTAAGGAGCAGGCAGTGGAGGGGGGTCCATCTATCTACCCACACACCCACCCATCCATCAATCCATTCATTCTCCATGTCTTCCTATACGTGATTTGAAATGGTTAGGCAATAGAGAGAATACTATGGACCTGATACTACAGGGAATGAATGAATAAATAGCTTACACATAGCATATGTGTATTTAGATTATTTCAGTATAATGTATTTTCTAAAAGACTAAAGTGGAGGGGAAAAATTCACTGGTTTTACTGATAGTTTAAGTCTCAAATATAACTTTTGTGTTTTAGATTTTAACATATGAAATTTAACATTAAAACCACATCATTCTAATTGATATCTTAAATTCCCTAATCCTACTAATGTTATTGGAAATATCAAGCATGAGGCCAGAACCAGGAAAAAGGCAAGATATCTATCAGAACATAAGCTTTAGTACTCAGAAGATGGGCAGGAAGAAAGAAGCAAATGGGTATATCTATTGTGTTTTCAAAGATAAAGAATTTTATTCCTCCCAAGAAGTTGGACTATAAGACTTTTTTATTTTTTATATGATTATTTTTAATGTCCAGAGTTTATAATACAAGGACCAGAGCTTCCTCTCAGACTCAAGTTTATAAATCTCAATTGGCTTGTGAGGCTAGTAGGGATACTTCTTTTTGTCTAATTTGGTTGCCGGGAAGACTTCATTCAAATCCTCGATGGTCATCTGGTCAAATGGAATTATGTCCTTCATCTTTTCCAGCTCTTTCTTGAATTGCTCAATCCTGGTCTTTGAGAGAGACAAACTCAGCACAACTTTTCACATCTGCTTTTTCTTCAGCATCCACCAGGGCACTGTACTTATCCTCTGGCACAGGAACCTTCAGGACATTAAACTTCTTCTCAGCATCATCTACTAAGCCGGCCTTTGCTACATTGGCCTTGTAGTAAGCCTAGTCGATTGCAGGTGGTTTCTCAGGGAGAGTAGCCAACCTGGAGGTGAGGGTCTCATTCCAGGATTTCAGGGTGTTAGCAATGGTTTTCTGGTTTCAGGGTATGATTTCCCCTAAAGCTACCCAGTCAATGGTTTTTAGAGCAAGTTTTCACCCAGCCGTCTTGAAATCCTTCACCAACCCCAGCAGTCCACAGTCCACAGAGCAAGTAATGGAAGTGTGGACTGTAAGACTTGATTCAAAAGTAATTTGGGGAGTGGGGAATGATGACTAGACCATAAGCTTATTTTATTGAGTTATTTTATATAAAAATAAAGGTTCAGATCTATTAACTATTACTAGCTTAAAATGATTAAAATTATATATCTACATGAGTACATATACATGCATACACATGCACTTTCTCCTTTATTCTAGCTTATAGGAATCTCCCACTTATTTGGAAAAGAAAATGTCTTATTCAAGCTACAAAGTGGACCCCTTGCTCCAGAACATGTGGGATGGGAATTTCTAACAGGGTAACCAATGAAAATAACAAGTGCCAACTGAGAACAGAGAAAAGACTGTGCTATATTCAGCCTTGTGACAGTAATATATTAAAGACAGTACAGGTAAAGTTTAATTAGACTTAACTTCATTATAATTTAATATTAAAAGACTATGTGTGCATGTATGTGAGTTTTGAAGGGATGGATGGTGTTTGGTTCTCATAAAAATAAAATCACTTTAGTATGACTATTAAAAGTCAAACTGTCTTAGTGGAAAGCAGATATTACTCTAACTGTACTTTGTGGGGGAAATTTTATATCAAGCAAAGGTAACATTAATCTGTTAGGAACTCTTACAGCCTAATAGTGTGGGTCATGGTCAGCATGAACTACTGCGGTACCTCACCACATATGTTGTTTTATTTAAGAGTAGACTATTTTTAGATTCTAACTTCTTTTTTAAAATATTAATTTTATCAAAGCAATGGATAGAAGATTTTGGTTGTTAATTATGAAAACAGGTATTATTGACATCAGAGAAGTTCTGTTGTTAGTTATATATTATCAACATGGAGGGAGAACCATACCATTTCCAAAATGCTCTGTGTTTAGATAGTAAACTTGCCAAATGATGATAAAATACTCTAAGATTGTTTGGTATAACTAGAGTTGGTACTACTTCTAGAATTATACAGGATGACCATCATTTTTAGAAATGCACAACACCCTTCTCATCCCCAAGTTATTCCCTATTAGAAATTAACAACTTGGCCAGGGCCCTGGTTAGGGCACATGCAGGAGGCAACCAAACGATGTTTCTCTCATATCAATATTTCTCTGTCTTTCCCTCCCTCTTCACTTTCTTAAAAATCAATCGAAAAATATCCTCCAGTGAGGATAAAAAAAAAGTTAACTCAATTTTAAAGAGATTAAGGTATTTATTCACCTATTCATCCACTGAAAACTGTCTGAGCTGTGTAAGGGAATTTGTTAATTTGTAGGTAAATAAACATTTAATAAGACATGGCTCTTGATAGTAAACAAAATAGAGAAATTTTCATTAATTCTGGAACTAGGTAAAAAAGATAGCAAAAATCATTGGGAAGTGGGTCCTATAACACGATGGAGCAAGAACAGGGAGACAGACAGACTTCTGTTGAGAGGGGTTTTAAATGTAGAAAAGAGAGTGCTGAAAGTTACTAAATAGCAACTATTAATGTCCTGGAAATAATTTGTGTCTGTGTGTTTATGTTATAAAATGTTCTATGTAGAATCACTTCTCTAAACTATTATAATCAAATTTTAAAAATGACTTCTTAATGTTATGTATATTTTTAGATCCCCAAAGGAAAAACGTGCCAACCTACTTTCCAACTCTTCAAAGCTGAAAAATTCGTCCTTTCTGGATGTTCAAGCACCCAGAGTTATAAACCCACTTTCTGTGGACTATGCATGGATAAGAGATGCTGTGTTCCTAATAAGTCTAAGATGATTACCATTCAATTTGATTGCCCAAATGAAGGGTCATTTAAATGGAAGATGCTGTGGGTCACATCTTGTGTATGTCAGAGAAACTGCAGAGATTCTGGAGATATATTTTCTGAGCTCAAGATTCTCTAAAGCCAAGCACATGGGGGAAAACTCAAGGTTAGTCAATCATGTCATTACATCAAAACGTTAGAATGGTTTTAAAAAGGTGGCAAAATGACCTTATTGGTTTAAAATAGTAAGAATGCCTATTCTCATTTGACTGTATTTAAGGCATTAGGAGCTTTTAAAAAGGTTCTCCTACAAAGATATGTAGAATTTGAAAGTCTTAAAATTGAACTTACTTTAAAATGTATCTTATCTGCACTAATAAAAGAGAAACATGCAAATTGGTGTTACTCTGCTACACCCACCAGCCAATCAGGATGAGTATGCAAATTAACCCAACAAAGATGGTGGTTAATTTGCATATGCAGGCGCAGAGTGAAGACTGAAGGCTCTGCCCGAGGGAAGACGGAAGATGACTGAAGATGACTGAAGACTGAAGAGGCTTGGCTTCTCTGCTGTGGTCGGAGCGAAGGCCTGGGTCCCAGGTGCCGGAGGAAAACCGGTGCCGGCAGCCAGGGAAAGGAAGGCCTATTGCACGAATCTCTTCGTGCAACAGGCCTCTAGTAATTATATAATACACAATACTTTGTTCCACCTACATTTTCCATATATAAAGGAAAAACTACCCAATTTATAAGAAAATATTTCATTCTATAAAATAATCTGGATTACTTTGTTGAAGATGTGTAAAACACATATTAAAAATTTAAAACTTTATCTGCACTTCAACAATGTAGCCTAGGTTCCACTCAGATGGTAAGCAAGGTGAGCAAGATTCTAGATTTTCTTAAATAGGAGTAAAGTTAAACTGTAAACAAATTTATAATTTCCACTGCACTGTCCTGAATATCAGTTTATTAAGATTTCTGGAAAGAGAAAAATGAAATTTCATTGCCTACTGTTGACAATACCAGTTTTTTATACCAAATACTATAAAAAACAAAATTTCCAAGATAAAGACCAAGAACAGTATCCTTACTTTGAAAATGAAAGGAATTTTAAAAATGTAACACTAAAGAAAGCACACAAAAAATTATTTCGACTTGAAAATAATTTATTCCTCAACATTACTTTCTGAAATGATAAATCCACATATGGCTTTGAAATATAAATTGTAATTAAAGATAAATAAATGTTAAAGATTACAACTGGAAATGATAGTAACTGGCACACTTTCTCTAGGCTATGATAGCCATTTACTAGAAAGTTTGAAAGAAGACAAGTTTTGTAATGTTTGTATAGTGACAAGCAAAACAATGATAACAAGTGGCACTGTTAAAAAATATGGACATTTATTATTTCAAAATCAGCTAGTTTGATAAAAAAGCATTATATTTAAAAAGAATTTAATACAAATACATGTTAAAATAAATGTAAATTGTGACTCTTTTGAGTGAAAACAAGGTTATCCAAAGAAGAAACCAAAACTCAATGGTTGTCATAAAATCTTTCCCTGAGGTTAGTGGCTGTTACACAGAAATATTTATACTGCGGCTTCAACTCCCTGTACTTATTTTTTAAAAATCAGAAGAATTTAAACAGAATGTGAATACATAAATTATAAATAAATATAAAAATGTATCTGTACAAGATTTGTAACTAAGACACGATTCTTATTGTATAAATACCTAACTATGAGTATAAATAAAGTAAAATACTAAACAACTGCATTCTCTCAATTTTAGAAAAAGGGAATTTTCTGAAGACAACGTTTGAAGTTAAGGTACTAGGACTTACTAATTTCACACACTGGTATTATCAACGGTGATTAAACAGAACTACTTTTGCAGACAAAATACTCCCTATGAGTATTTAATATGAAAAACACAAACTGGGCTCTCTGAATCACAAAAGTTCTGAAAAAGCAAGGTAAGATTACAGGAAAAGGAAAAGCATTTTTGGGTTCTGTTTTACACAGCGACGCTCAGTCTGGGCAAGTCTTCCATGGGCATGCTTTTTGTGGCATCCAGTTGGCTGTACTCCTGGATGAGAGCTGATAAGGACGACACTGCTTCTGTAAAACAGCTTTCCTCCATCCCTTCAATTTGCAGGTAGTGATGAAGATGAGCCTATAATTTAAAAAAACCGAATAATGTTGACTATTTTCAGGAAATGTGATACTACCCTATAATGTAAACATTCTGTATTAAAATGATAGTTCACTCAGATTTACAAGAGGAATGAGAACTATAAACTCACAAGATTTCTCATTTAGATGGTCTGAGTTAGCCTCTGCTCTTCAGTTATAATCAGTGCAATGAATATAGGAGACAGAATCACCCTGATTTGTAATAGTACAATTCTTAGGAATACATCACAAATAGCCAAAATAAACACACATAGTTATAAAAGTGTGCTGAAAATTACCTTTTTCTTGTAGAGCCTCATGAATCTCTCTCTCAGTTCCAGGAAGGTAGGCTTCACACATGTGTTATTTGCTAAAGCTAATAATGAATGGGAATGGCCCACGGGAGGTACTGAACACAGGCTGGTCTTCCAGCCTTCTTGATTCCAGGAGACAAACTGTAGAGAAGGTTTTAATCTGAGATACAAAGACTCAAGGTAAGAATTAAGGTACTAAAAATGTCTGTCATATTACAGCAGCTCACATTAGGTAAACATCACTGCGTTACTGATGGTACCATTAGTTTATAATGTAAGTTATCTATTTTTTACTATCAGCAGTATTGTGGTACAGTCTGACAGTGAACTAAGAAACATTTAGTAGGAGGACATTAGATTAGTTGTGTGGCGATTCATAAAGCTAGAAACACATTCCTTAACATTAGAAATCTGGGGATGAAAATAAAGAAAAGTATTATAATTTTTTTTTTTTACTTTTTAACTCAACAGAGCAGTTTTCTGTAGACTGAGAATAGTAAAACATTAACTTAGAAGCAGTGTAGTGGTAGTAATAAATACAGTAACAATAGTTAAATTTTTTGAACACTCTCAGGAAATAAAACATCATTTAGTACTTAAAAATAACAACTTTGTACTATTATTATTCTTATTCTTCATTTGAGAAAAATAAGGCTCAGAGAGGCTAAGTAGTTTGCTCAAGGTCATACTTAAATGGCTAGAGTTCGAAGAGAGACTATCCTAATTATTATGCTACACTGTCACAGCAGTACACATAACAAATTATCTTGAAAAAATACAAACTCAAACCTTTCAATATTTCTGCGAAGATCTGAAATCTGGACATTTCCTCTAACCATGAGGGCACAGGCGAGGTAGAGACTGTGTTTGGGGTCAGCCTGAATTAGCTGGTGATCTTTACTAAAAGCATCTGAAAACATTTGATCCAACCTAGAACAATAAGAGTCACTGTTTATACAAAATATTACATCTTTCTTCTATGTGTAACTATAAAATGAAAAGACAGTCATCTGTAGGTAAATAAACTTTACATGCAAATATATTCTAAATCTCTGCTATAATTTTCTCAAAGCAATCTTTTACAGAATACGAGAAGAGAGGAAATGACATAATATCTTTTTTTTTTTTTAAATAAAAAGCTTCTACAATATATTGGTGATTTCAGGTATCTACAAAATGTTAACTATATCATTAGTGAGCTCTATAAAATGCTGATTTCGGGAACTTGTGTCATTATTACTTATTTCAGTACTAGAGGCCTGGTGTACAAATTCGTGCAGGGGTGGGGTCCAGCTGGCTGGCCCCGATGGGGGCTGATCAGCTTCGGGAGGTTGGCCGGCCAGTCCCGCCTCTGATTGGGGTCAGGGGCCGATCTGGGCCCCTATCAGGCTGGTTGGCCCCTTCACTGTGCATCATAGCAACTGGTTGTTCTGGTCATTTCGCTTTTATATATATAGATGCTTATCTACTTGCATAGTACCAGACTATCAAAACTAATTAAAAGCTTCAATACTAAGAGAAAATGACTTTGTATCTTTAAAATTATCATAAATCTGGAATAATCATGAGGAAACTATCAAAGACAATGTTAGGCTCCCCTATAAAACATGAAACTCTGTAGTAGTGTTCCTGAAGAGGGAGACTTTAAAGTGAATGAAGTCTTTTTAAAAATATATATATATTTTTATTGAGAGAGGAAGGGAGAGGGAAATAGAGACATCAATGATGAGAGAATCATTGATCAGCTGCCTCCTGCATGCCCCACACTGGGGATCGAGCCCACAATCCAGGCATGTGCCCTGACCAGGAATCAAACCGTGAACTCCTGGTTCATAGGTTGATGCTCAACCACTGAGCCACGCTGGCTGGGTGTGAATGAAGTCTTTTAACTTCATTCTTTAATCCTTTAGTTAAAGAGGGGAAGGTGAGGGTGACTGACAAAGTTTATATCTAACCATACAGACTTGTTGGTCCTCAACATGGCCCCACTTAATTCAATACAATTATGATAAGGTTCCTTTGATAGCTCTTGCCAGAGCTATGTGTGCTGATTCTGCAGAAAGCCTGGGAAAAGCAACTGGAATCACACTATGCTGCCTATTCATTCAACAGACATTTACTAAATACCAGGCAAGGCATGGTTCTAAGTGCAAGAGATCCAGTTGTGAACACCAAGAAAAAATCTCCTACTCTAATGGAGCCTACATCCTATCCTGATTATCCTATAGCAAGAAGGATAGAGGACTCCCTTAGGAAATGGTGAAATTTGGGGCACTCATGAATCCTCCACTATTGTATTCAAAATTTTGGTCTGTATGTGCTTTCTGGCATTTTTATGGAGTCAAGGAAACCCAGGAAAGGTTAAGAATTGCTGAACAACAGTGGTCAAACTCATTTCTTAATTTATCTTTTGTCACAAAATATAAAAACTAGTAAGCAGGTATTTATAATTATTGGATACTTTATTTACATAAGAAACATGAAATTTCAAAAAAACATACACACTCATGTACTTATTATTTTCATTTGATAAAAATGAACTGGGTACAGAACTAACATTTATTATTTAACTAGAGGCCCGATGCACCAAATTCATGCAAGAGTAGGCCTTCCTTCCCCTGGCTGCAGCATCGGCTTCCCTCTGGCACCTGGGACACAGGCTTCCCTCACAATGCTGGCTTTGTCCGGAAGGACGTCCAGTCT